GTTTTTCCCAAAAGTCAAACATTTATCATAATATGAGAATTTAGTGAAGAAAACATTGATACATCCTATTTTTATGTACCGATTAAATTTAAATGGCACAATAAATGAATAATGTGATGAAAAAGAGGAATTGCATGCACAAAGGGCACTATTATTCTCAATTGGTGAGGTAGAACAAGTGTGAGGCCATATTTTATGGGCTTTGGACCCCATCAAGGTAGCTAGAGTTGCCAAAGTTAAGCCCTCGTTTTGATTAACTTGGAATTTCATAATTCCATTTCAAGTTTTGAACATCAATAATTCTACCTTAAAATTTTCCACAATTCATAACATTATGTCCCCTTCATTTCTCCATCATTAGCAGCAATATTAGTAATTGATGTTCTTCTGTCCAAAGATGTGTATCACTCTATATACTTCTTCATTTTCATTGATCAGAAAATATAGTGTAGCTATTAGCCACAATTGTAAGTACAAGAACTACACTTAAATAACACTTCAAAAAATTTCTACCTTGCATTTTTCAAAAGAAAAAGTCTATTAAAAAACTTAAGCTTGTCCAAATATCTAAAATAAAACGTCTTATAAAAATCGTTACAGCATAATGCAGTTTCGTTGACTCTACTATATATGCACTGAAAATATGCATGTTTTGGGTTTCGTTTTAACATTTATGGTTCTTGAAGTGCTGTCACATTATTAATCTTGAATCACGTGAACTTTATTGTCAAATTAATTTATATATAAACTTAGTATTCAATGCCATGGCTCCAAAGGAATTCATTAAATATATTAGCTTCTCTTACTATTTAGTGTGATTAGTAATCAAAACTATAATACCAAAAAAGGTGTTAGATTTTAGGATTATCAAAATGTCAATTATTTAATTCATATGAAGAACGGTTGTTGAGATTAACAATCACATATTTTGAAATAAATTAATTAAATAACCAAAAGATAAAGGAAATACTATTGGTTATACAAAAAAAATAATCAAAACTATAATCAAATATGATATAGTGCAATTTTAATCTAACTACAATTCCCTTACCCAAGTACCCAACTAATCCCTAAAAGTTTATATTTATATATGACAGGTCAATTATATCCTAACAAATAATAAAAATAAACTATTTTATATTTTTATGATTTTTTTTTAATTAATTATTATTTTTTGATTGAATTTGGACATGATGGAACGCAAACAGGTGATTTGAGAACGAAAAACAATAGAAAGAGGAAAAGAATAAGATGCATAACAATTTTGTACCAAACAATAACTACATAGTTCCGACTGATACAGTCATACAGTTACCAAATGTCCAGAAAAAATGTTATGTATTCCACCATCAACCATGAACATTTCAAATTAGGACATGTCTTATCAATATTCAATCTAGAGTAATAATATATACTCCTACTATATCTTTCTACTAATTTTCCTACCTACAAAAAAGTGACATATATCACTTGTAAATCAATCACTAATGAATAAAGTATCACTTTGTGACATATGTCACTTTTTTATGAGTAAAATGATTAATAAGATGATTTAGTATGATTATATATTATTTTCCTTCCATGAACACTTTCGGATAATCTTAGCATGCAATACTGTTGCATTTTTTCCAATTTTATTTTCTGTTTTTCATGTCAATGTAGAAAAAATATCACAATAATTAAGTAGATGATAGCATAACATTATGTTCACAATATTGGCTACAAGCTGAAAACTATAAAACTATAAAACTAAAGCTTAAAATTGTGTAGGTAACTTATTGGATTAGAGTTTTGTATAACTATCTACAAATTTTAGGGTGACTTAAAAGACATGTAATATTAGCAATGTTGTATAATATTGCTTCCCATATTGGGCTAAGTAATTTAGTGAAGCAATGTTGTGGTAAACTTAATTCCCTCTTGAAGATTTTTATTAGCATAAGGGTCAGTTTCAACATAGAAATTATTTGAAGGAAAAAGTGTATAGATTAACTAAAGCACATGGCCTTAAAGGAAGCAAAATCCAAGATCCAAATGGGTAGCCAGGACAAACATCATAAAGAAAAATTGTGACAGTAGCAAAATGGTATTAATGGGTACCCCACAGCAAGATGTGCACAAAAAACTTCAGCACCCACTAGTGTGAGAACTTTCATAAATTGGAAGAACCATTGTCCTTTTATACAAAGGAGAGTATCCATTTACTCTAAGATTAAGTTTAATAAACTTATTCTATATCTTAGCCATTAATTTTAGGAAAATCCAATGATTTGAACTAGTAAGTAAATCTAAATCATTAGATTTCCTATAATTGATGGCTAAGATATGAAGTAAGTTCAAAAAAATTATTTTTGAATAAGTATATGTGATCTCTTTATATAATCTTTGATCTTCTAAATTAAGCTAACAACTAATTGCTATATATATAGTGTGTCTAGGTCATCTTTTTCAAATGTCACTCACATATTGTTAGTTGAGTGTGGAAATAAAAATTTGGGCCCATAAAAAATAATAAAGTGAAGTTTGTAGGTTAAAATTGTATTAAATTATAAAACAAATTGGCATAATGAAATAAAAAATAAGTACTTATTATATAATTACTAAGATATACTTTCTTTTTAGGCTTTTAGTTTGATATTTTTTTGTTTCACATTCTTAATGGGTGTTAAACGGTTTCAAATTTTGATTACATCAAATTAAATTCTTATTTTAATTATCATTATAACCGTAAAAATATTTGATGAAATTACATGTAGAATATAATAATTGATAATATAATTAAAAATAATAAAAGATAATAGAATATTTGTTGGTTGAATTGTTTGTGGATGTAACAAAATATTTGAATAGTGTAATATCTATATGTTGTTAATGTAAAAATTCATATACAATTACTATATCAATTATTATTCATTTGGATTTATTTTTTAAAAGTTAATGATAATTAAATATAAATATCAAATGATATACTGAATATGTAACTAACTATGTATAAATTTTATACCATCTTATTTTTGCTAATATTTGAATATGTCAATGATTATCAACAATGTGAGGCAGACCCTGCCAGGCTGGCCCAGGCTACTATAGTATGGAAATAAAAAAGTGGGGAGCTTTAGTGTGATATTTATAAATTATAAATTATTGTATAAAAAATTATATATAATTAATTTATTATCTACCATTTATATGTCTGATTTTATTGAAAAATTAATAATAATTAAACAAAAAATAATAGATAATACATTAAGAATATATAAATATTATATTGTCATTATATACATTCTTTTCACATCAATAATTGAGTCATAAGTATGTAATAATGTTCAGTAAGAGCGCTAACGCTGCTTTGAATTGACCATAAATAACTCTTTCAGTGAGACCCAAAAGTTTGAACAGAAAAAGTAAACATTGACACGTGACCTTAATATTCTATTACAACTGGTTTCTGTCATTTAGGTTTCATCAATATTATATGTAGATACAAATTTATATTACAATATATATTAGTTTTTAATCCGTGTAGTACATACTTCATTATTTTTTATTTATTGATAAATAATTCTTTTTGTTTTTTGGTACACCAACAATATATATAAGTAAGGTTTAAGAATTTAGAGAACAACTTTTATTTAAAAATGAGGTGGTGGGTAGAGGTCCACGATTGCTGACGATAATGATGATTGGTGGGGGCCACCATAAAAAAGAGAAAAAAATAATTTAAAAAATACAAACAAAACGTGGAACCACAATATAAATATGTCAAATATCATAAATTAACTTGTTGTTAGCACAGAAATATTGGTAAGGTGGATGTGTTATGTTATGGTACATTATATTTATATAACAATAAGGACAATATTGAGTTTATGTGAACGTGAGTGAACATTGATATCTTATTATCACATCTCTGATTTTTTGCTTAACGTCTTTCTTATAATCGTCATTGTATTTTTTCGCTCAAAAATGTAGAAAAATCTTTTAATATAATCACATTGAACATTGTATTTTAATATATAGATATGAGAGTTGGTTAAAGTCTAGAGAATGTTAGCACCATAGCAACCAGTTTTTAAACTGTACACTTATTAGATCACATAAATTATTAATTTTATGTTATTCTTTTTTACCAAATAAAGAAATTATTTTTTGTTATGTCCAAGAAGATGTGATTTTGTTCCTACATATCATTTTTTTGGAATCAGAATCACGTAGTTGTTTGGGTAGAAAAATGTTTGTTGGTTAAGTTAATTTTATTATTTTTTTAGAATAATATAGTGTTAAATCTCACCTAATACTCCTATTAATATGAGTGAAGTACAACTAATATGTCTAATATCGAGCCTCATACTATGATTAGTTGGAATCTTATTACATTTATATTTATATATTGAGTCAATTTTATTGTTGTTTGTTTAAAATAATGTATTAAATCCTATCTAATACTCCTATTAATATGAGTAAAACATGTGACTTTTGTATAAGTCGGAGCAAGATAAAGTACATAAATGTCAGTCTAAGAAGAGTCACACAAACTTCTTTGAAAATGTAAAGATTGAAAATCATATCTTATCAAAAGTCACATGTTAAACCTCATATTTGATTAATTTGTAGATAGGCATGATATGGGATTAGAAAGTGGATTTTTTTTATTGAAAGGGATGAAACAAAATAATAAATCAAAACTTCCACTTCCATAAGATTTGAATGCTACCTCAAAATTGCCATTGTTGATTAAATCTTCACTTTGCTTTTCTAAAGACATGTTAAACCTCATATTGGTATTAAATTTATAAAGTAGTCAATTTAAATAAACTAACTTCCATAAAAGGAAAGAAAATCGCATAGTAAATCTTAAAAGTAGGATGTTATTTAATTACATTATAATATTTATACAATGATATTATAAAGATTTATGCGAGTCAATAATGATTTACAGAAAAATGTATGCTTATAAAAGTTTTACACATAATATAAATTTTCTATAATGTTACTACATCATCCATCATTCATATTTAATTATTATTGACTATTTAAAAGTACTACAAATGAATCGTGAATGATACGTTGACTGTGTATAAATCTTTATATTAACAGTGTATCGATATTAGACTTAATGATTAAATATGAATAATGTATAATATAATAACATTATATAAAACTTATACGATTATTGTGTGCAAAATTAATATACATATACGCAACCCAAAAAATAATAATATTTTAGGAAAATACGTTTTAAGCTAAAGTATGATTCATGTATTATAGGAGGGTAGCTGTACCATTTCCTCTACCAACCCCCACTCTAATATTTAAACCCCTTCATCATCCTCCCTTTTTTCTAAGCTTTAAGTTCCTTCTTAAAAAAGAACTCGAAGCTTATTAACCCAATTTTCACAAACAAATATGCACTCTCTTTCACCTTCGTATTCTACCACTCTTAATCTCAACCACATACTCTCCCTAAACCGGGTCGCCCCGACTCGAATAACTGTCAAATGTGGTTACGGGTTCGAACCGTTCAGCAGATCCGATTGGCAGAGTTCATGTGCTATCTTAACCAGTAAAGTTGCTTCTCAGGATAATCATGGCGGTGGCGCCGGTCATGTTCCCGCTGTTAACGGTCATAAAACCGGTTTCACTGACCTCAACCTTATCCCAATCGGAAATGGAACAATCGGCGAAAATAACAAACTGTCACAACCGAAACCGCTCACAATCTCCGATCTCTCTCCGGCTCCGATGCACGGTTCGAGTCTCAGAGTCGCGTACCAAGGCGCACCCGGCGCGTACTCAGAAGCTGCTGCCGGAAAAGCTTATCCAAACTGCGAGGCCATTCCGTGCGACCAGTTTGACGTAGCGTTCAAAGCGGTGGAGCTTTGGATCGCAGATCGAGCGGTTCTCCCGATTGAAAACTCCCTCGGAGGTTCGATTCACCGTAACTACGACCTCCTCCTCCGTCACCGCCTCCACATCGTCGGTGAGGTTCAGCTCCCCGTTCATCACTGCCTCCTCGCTCTCCCTGGGATCCGAAAAGAGTACTTGACCCGAGTAATCTCACATCCACAAGCCCTAGCTCAATGCGAACACTCTCTCACTAAACTAGGTCTCAACGTGGCGCGTGAGGCAGTTGATGACACAGCAGGAGCTGCAGAATTCATCGCTGTAAATTCCCTACGCGATACCGCAGCGATTGCAAGTTCACGCGCGGCGGAACTATACGGTTTAAATGTTCTAGCCGATGGGATTCAAGATGATCCGAGTAACGTGACTCGGTTTGTTATGTTAGCCAGAGAACCGATTATTCCAAGAACGGATCGTCCTTTTAAGACGAGTATAGTTTTCGCACACGATAAGGGTACTTCGGTACTTTTCAAAGTGCTTTCAGCTTTTGCATTTAGGAATATAAGTTTAACTAAGATTGAATCGAGGCCTCATAGGAACCGTCCGATTAGGCTTGTTGATGATGAGAACGTGGGAACAGCGAAACACTTTGAGTATTTATTTTACGTTGATTTTGAAGCATCTATGGCTGATGTTAGAGCACAAAACGCGTTGGCGGAAGTTCAGGAATTCACGTCGTTTTTGCGAGTCTTGGGGAGTTATCCTATGGATATGACTCCATGGACTCCTTCATCTTCCATTCAAAATATTGAATAATATCTTTGTGAAGGAAATAAAAGGAACGTGGTTATTATTTATTCCTTTAGTTTGTTCAATAATGAAGTTTTTCTATTATGATTTAGATTTTGACGTACATAATATATTTCTTTCTATTCTTGTCCAAGTAGTTTAATAATGTTAATAGTATATTTTCAAAGTAAATAAGTGATGTAGATTATCCTGGATAATAATAGATTAAATCACAACATATGATATTTTGATTTACATGACTGTGTGTTTCTTTCTAAGCTTGTCATTTTCATTGTTACTTTTTGGCATTGTCTTTTTCTTAATGTCGCCTTGGTTCTTAAAAAATTATGACTGTAACAAATATCAGAGGGGAAATGTGATATTTTCAAATATTTTTAGTATTTAGGACAGTTGTTTTTTTCCTCCTCGTATTGTTCTCCAACCTAGATCTTAATCGGTTAAGGGTACATTTACCAACAAGGTGTTAGTCTAATGATATAAGTTTATTAGATTTATAAGATGACCAAAATGTTAAAAACCTGATTCTGAGAGCGATACTTATTAAGATGGAACACGTCCCGTAACAAGAATAAATCTGATAGGATACATTTAGGTGCTTGGGCGGAATCTCAAATTTCATGTTTAAGTTCCTAACACCCCTTCGACTTGTGTCTCTATACATATTGATATTAAAGTTCAGAATGTCTTATTGCAGCCAATTTTAAACTCATCACACCCATTATTATGTCCATTTTAAAAATTATCTCGATGCTTGTTCATTGAATTTCACTAGTTTATTCGTTTCCTTTAAAAACCAATAAGCATTTATTGATATTATAATGATTTCTGAATGTAATTTTAGCATGTGTGTATTATCAACAAGACAACAACAACAAAAATCGGTGAATAAAGGAGGTGATGGGCCACAGGCACCACAACTTGGCTATATGAAAGGAAAGGTCTTACAACCACACAACTTGCACACATGATAGCCAGTTCTCAAGTGTGGAATAAAAATCTTCTTTTTAGCTCATTAAAGATTCAAATAATTTGTTCTTTTATTTTATTTTTTAAGGAACTTGTTTTTATTTTTATTGGTAACAATTATAATAATATATGATAATAAATATATAAGATTATTAAAGATATTTTAAAGATTATTCTAGAAGTTAAGTGGTTAGGAAGTTAGTAGTTATTTTGTAAAGTTTGTTTTAGTTGTTTGGTTTACCTTTCTCTGTCCTCTTTTCTCTTGTATAAATAAGTCATATTGACTCACTTTTTCATCAATGAATATACTGTTCAATTCAACTTATTCTTTCTCATTCTTTCTTTTTCTCTAAGCTTTCTTGGCTTATCCTTCTTGTTCATCAAGAAGATTCATCCATGGCTCATACTAAAATTTAACATAAGATTTTAGTTATTTTAGTGTTGCCCAAAATAACTATAGAAACCTGCTCACTTGATTAATTCATTATGCAACTTGAATGCATGGACATGGTGTAAAATCTAAAATGAAGCCTAAGGAAACCTCAGCTCAATGCTCACCAACCCAAAGTGTAGGATGATCATGATCACAATTCAATTCAACATTGACTACTAAAGAGAAGCACTGTTGCACAAATCAGAACTTCAAATGGACATGGACTTATCTTCCATGAGTTTTCATTAATTGTTGGTGATAGCAACCTCCTTCACGGGTTGATTTTTTATGTCGATCGTTCTTACTTAAAACTAAATGAATCTCGTGAAATGATATTTTATGTGATTATTTTATTTTTAGTGTATGAAAATGGGATGGATTGTGAATGGGAATTATTAATGGTTTTGTGTATGGTCGTGTGTAAAAATATGAGCTGGGATGTGTATGGTTTTGTGTATGATTTTTAGTGTATGGATAAAAGAAGATGGTGAAGATTGAAAAGGGGAATGACATCATAAGCAAGGATGTTTGATAAACATAAATTGTTCGCCACAAACAATGATGTTTGGTGAGAACTAGGTGAGATGTCACACAAATGATAATAAACATTTGAACGCCACAAGACAAGTCTTGATAAGTTTTAAGTTAGGAGCAAAGCTCAACTAAAAGAAACGATTTCAATCTAAAATATTAGTCAAGGGAATTTGGCCAAGTATTTGGTCTTGGTTCAACCTCATACTATTTTAGATTGAAATCGTTTAAAAAGTCTCATCCTTTCCTAAAATTGTGGCATATATCCACTAAGTGGTTCTCCTAATTGGATAATAAACTTGATAAGCTTATTATCTTCATCAATAATACACCTCATTGGGTTGCTATCAGTTAAGGTCATCTAATATGTGCAAAAATAAAAATGAAAACAAGTCACACTTTTACTTAAACATTTCCAACTTGTTTAATATATTATTAGCTTAAATTTTGTTTATTTGTCTATTTAATTTTTTTTAGACCTAAGTGTCACCCACCATATTTTATCTTTCCATAAATCACCATTGTATTGTTTCATTTTAATAAAATTTGATACATAAAAAATAGCATATTTTTATTACATTTGTTCAAATTTATGTCTATTCAATATATCTTTGTGTTTGATTATTCCCTTTGTAGTGATTATAATATGTTGACTTTACTTCATAAAATATATGTTTTTTTCCGCATGTTGTTCAAAGGATAATCTTCTCTAAATCTTAAAGAAATGAATTAAGGGTTTAGGTAGGTTTATTATTGTTGGGGTTCACCCATCGACTTCCATGACTAAAAGAATATGATGGAAATAGTAAGATTTCACCCTTCCCTAAAATGCAAAAACATTATTTGTATGTTTAATTTAGATAGTTTTGATATTTGAACCTAATTTCTGAAGTTAAGTAATATTTATATGGCCTTTCCTCATACTAAGATTGACCTTTGATTAATTATATTGACTAATTTATACAATTATTGAAATATTTATTATTATTTTTATTGTATAATTATTAAAAGGGACAAATAACATTATTTTTATTTTTACATCTAACTAGGGTTCATCTTATCTTTGTGCAATAAAGAACTGCTTATATAGTTTTTAGTTAAGAAATAATGTATCATAGTTCGTCAGTCTCACATCAAGAGAGTGAAGTAACATCCATATGTTTGCTATCGCTTTTTTACTTAAGGCGAAATAAAACATGATATTGATTGCACTCACTTTTCAATCTAGCTCTAAAGGTTTTTTTTGTACTAACAATGGTATCATCTCAACTTTTAGTAAGGAACCAATCCCTTTCAAGATGTTTTGATGTCCCTCTAAACAAATGTTGCTCACAATAATCAAACATGTGATCTCTTGGTTGTTCTAGGATCTAGTAGGGTTTTATACCACTAAATCAACATATTGTTGGTATTATGTAAAGGTTTTTATTATATGGTTAAAAGAAGATTCAATATTTATCATCATTTGTCTACCCACTATGAGAAACGAAGTATTTGTACTATTTAAAGGATAAAAATATGAATAATAAACATATATTAAATATTTCATATTAGCATCCTATACAAATGTTATTTTATTGTAGGTTTAATTATTATTAATAATGTTCTTCATATTTTATTAATATTATTCTTAATAATTAATCGAGATAATGAAATTAAATAACCTGAACTAAAATATTTCAAAATCAGTCTTAGTTACTAAAATGTTGATATTACATTATATTTAAAATTTTAAGAGTATGTATATGGTGAGGGAAAGAAGGAGTATTATTTTAGTTTTAGTAATAGTGATGATGATAAAGGTAGAAGATTTGGTTTGGTGAAGAATGAGCATGCGTGCAGTGGTAGATTGGTAGGTGAAAATATATATATATATATTTTTTTTGTGAGTTGTGGTACTATAGATGGAGTGAGCTTATTCTCTGTTACTCGAGAGGAAGTTAATTAAAATATTTGGAAAAATTAAAATACAATGACACTATATTCCTTTAATTTATATTGATATTATATTTTTATTCTTGAACTTATACTAAAAAATCTATGTGTCATAGAATAGTCTCACTATGAGACACATCTATTGTTCCTCCTTTAAGGCGGAAGAAAACATGGTATGAGCTTTTGCTTAGAAATATATAAGTCCACGTGCGCCTAAAGATTAATAAGACAATCTTATTCAAATTTTGCACTAAAGAATTATAGATTGTTTACTAACACAATAAATGTTTTATATAACATCCATGTACTGATTGGTTTGTTATTCATGATGAACTTTTGAATAAAAGTAATACATATAAATGATATAAAGACACTATATTTCTTACATTGTTAAAGTATACTCATCAAACCTATAAAAAAATGAAATGTTTAAGTACTATTTCATCCAATCACATAATAAAATTTCAACAAAAAAGAAAAATACTTTTAATCTTTTGTTTAACCAATTAATCAACTATTAAACCAATAATTTAATGCATCTTTAATTCACTACTCAATCATAAACCATAGTAACCTATTTCCAATGATCTCATTCAAATCAAACAAAAAAAATCATCCATGAATTCCACCACAACATTTATCTAACCAATGTTTTATTATTATTTAGAAACTGGCCTAATGAAGTG